AAAAAAAAAAAGAAGTGGGACCTACCCGTACGGCCTCACAAGACGTCATACAACTAGTATAACTTTAACAGTTTTAATTTGTATTCCACCTTTGGTGTCCATGTGAAGGATTCGGATCCTGTTATATGCAGTTGCAGATCTTGGCACGAGCGCACAATGCATTTTGATCTTAACACTGACGATATAAAAGCTATTTTTTGTTACGGCAACTATCCATGAATGGTGTTTAATTTGAATTGGCGTATGTACTTACTTACTTCTTACATAGATTTGTTACCAATATCATATCATCTATACTTAGTCAGGTCATAAATTCTGTCACATGTTTAATGTAAAATAATTGAAACAAGTTTATTCATTATGTAACCATTCATATACCAAAATGAACTTAACAAAACATAGATTCTTATGACACTAAAGTTTATTCAAAATGACCTCCGTGATTTTGAATACAGGCCTTCAATCTGCGCGGCCAGTCGTCTATCGCAGCACGAACGAGGTCCATGTCAATATCGGCGGCTGCCTTAATCANATGCATAAAACGCGTGCAGAGCAGCTTGCACGTCGTTTTCTTAGGCCCCCTTCGCCGGTCCCCAGACCGACATGTGAGGGAGACCCGAAACACTTAGAGGGCCAGGGCTAGGGCGAGCCTGGCCTCCGCTCGACGGCGGCGGGCTTGTGCGTCTCTCACGCGCCCCGCCGCCTCCTTCTGCGAGATGGTGCACTCGCAGAAGTCGAGCATCGCCTTCCACGACTCGTCGTCGCCGAGCATCGATGCCACAACACTCGGCAACGACAAGTCGTTTCCTATTTTTGCGACGAGGACACGGCGCCACCCCTCCCATGCGGGGCAGGAGACGAGCGTGTGCTCCGCCGTGTCCAAGTCGCAACCACAATGGTGGCACTCTGCCGTCGGCTCGGCTCCGATCCGGTGCAGGAACTCACCGAAGCAACCATGCCCAGTGAGCACCTGCGTGAGCCGGAAAGTGAGGCGTCCTCTGTCACGATTCACCCAGTTCACAAGAACCGGGCGAATCGCCTCGACGGTCCTACGACCAGCCGAAGCATCGGCCAGCCGTCTGGACCATGACTCCAGCACGGACCGCCGAGATTGGGCCCTCCGCGCTCTGACCACACTGGGGCTGGGACGTGCCACGCCCCGGGCACGAAGGTCAGCCCGCCACTGATAGTCAGCGGCGAGCGCCTCCGCCTCCAGGACCCAAGGCGGCGTCCCAGCCAGTACACACGCCGCCTCGAAGGAGATGGTGCGATAGCCACGGATGACTTACTTACTTCTTACATAGATTTGTTACCAATATCATATCATCTATATATATGAAAATGAATTTCTTTGATGTGTCCCCCGTTGGACGGATTCCTTAACAGTTTATTTTATACAAATGTTTAGGTCTTTTATTTATCGATTGAGGCACTACGAAGTCTGCCGGATCAGCTAGTAGATATTATAAATATCATGTTTATTAAGCGTTCGGTAAGGCTACACCCTGAGGTTACTAGCAGTAGATAGGGAAAAAAAAGAAGTGTGGCTATGTGTCTCATAGTGGAGACCATGCTACCCCGCTCGTGGCCACTGATTGTGTTCGCTCAATGCAGAAATCCGATTAAGGGAGTCAGGAGATGATATTCTCTCGCTTTTCCTGGTTAACTTACTTTACCTGGTGACCTAGCACTGAACCACTGACTTTTATAACACAGGTTTTCCTAGCATAAAAGTCAGGGAATATTGTTATTATGTACCTCATAAAAAAAACATGTATATTATTATACTAGTGTTATAAATTATTGTACGTGTTTGTATTTTAAGAGGCTTGAATAAAATATTATTATTATTATTTAGAATTTTGACGTATCGAAATAGGTAATCGACTTTCCCTACCTATACGCTGGTGGCCTCAGAGGCTATACGACCTACGCTCGGACGGTTAGGTGAGCTCACGGGCTCAACCTGAGAAAATTTCCTAACATTAACCCTAACAAGAGCAGTGCTTCGTAGAATCAACCAATGGATGGGAATCGTGATCCCCTGAGGTGATCCGGCGAGAAATTCAGTGGCCTGTGTCTATGGGTTAGTTCACTCGTCGAACTCTTCGTCGTGATTGTTGAGTTCGACGAGGAAACTTAGAAGTTGTGTACGCTGTCTTCAACGGATGCATCGTTCGAAAATATTTGTACACAATTAAAAGCGCTTCGGGTATATCTATTGTCCTTTCCCCTTTGTATCAAAATAAAATAGATTGGTAAAAACTATTATACCATATACGGGGATGAATGACAAATGATAGCCTTGACAGGCTATTCAGCGTAACCTTAGCTAGTAGGTGAGCTCACGGGGCTCAAACCGGAGTGATGCTAACACTGACCCTAGCAAGAGCAGTGCTTTGCAGAATCTACCACTGAATCGGAAACGCGACACACTGAGAAGATCCGGCGAGAAACTCAGTGGGCTGTGTCTGTGGGTTGCTCAAACTTTCTTGTTCGGAACTTATATAATATATGCGAGCGTATCTTGAAAATGTCATAAGCGAGATTCAGGCATCTGTCAAATATCTTGAGTTCTGTGATGGCTACCCGCCAAACATGTACGTACTATTGCAACGTTTATGTCTCGTTAAACGTTGTTAATGATAAATCGGATCCGAAATTAGATTTATTCAAAACAAGAGGCTGTATATTTAAATGAGATGCGGAATTGTCTTCAAGTTCAGAGTTTGTTACCGGTTTAAAGAAGTAACTGAAGCTCTTGGGGTGATTCTTCAGTATACCCCTTACGGAAACGGAGATAAGAGTTTAAGGTTTGTTGAAGTATCAGCAAATCTTACATTACTATTTGAGAGACTGGGCAAAGATTTCCCGGATGAAAATATTATCTATCATTATCCTATCCTATATCCCGCCATCTCCAAACAACGCTAATATTAATCTCTATTAGCGTTTGGGGAAAAGTGCTTAGATATCTTGACCCGGATATCGGATGCTGAAGATGTTCTTATCCATGCCATTCCGTATCACCCATAAAGTTTCCGAAGCACAGTTGTATATTCTTCTATGCTCTGCTAGTGGTATCATCAGCCAGGCTTATGAGAGCTTCAAGCAAACATCTGAGTAGATTTGTATATGATATAATATGACCTCTTGACTTTATCTGTGTTAGTTTCTCTTAAACGATATAGTGTGGCTTCATCCCGAATGGTATTCCGTTCCTGGGTAGATTCAAGTTGGAGTGTGATTTTGGAGAGATTTTGGAGATTTTGGATTGGAGAGTAGCTGGTGAAAGCCATCTCAACTATCATTTGCAGAAATAAGTTACAGTTCTCGGAATAGATCTTTCGAGTCGAAACTAAATCTGTACGAGTTCAAGTTTCAAGTAATAAACATAAGTGTTCTTGTAATGTCTTGAGTTGAAGTGGAATGTAATATTTTCTTCAGCTAATTAACTCGAAGACAACGTACTGATAATGTTTTTTTTATGCTTGAGAGATTACTGGTGGCTCGGAGGCCTTTCCAGTTTTAGCGGGGCAGATGGGCGAGCAAGGGCTCGGCCAGGAGGGGTGGGATTTGCTAACAGCTACCCGAGCGCCTCCAAAGGAGACCTTACAACTCAAGAGTAAGTGCTTCGCGAATGAGGATAATATGTATTAGTATTAGTACATTGAAGTAGTTTGCTACTACTACTTTGATTTATAAATTGCAAATTCTTTATTGCACAAAAATACTGTACAAAGACAAACTTAATACCATTAAGGAATTCTCTTCCAGTTAACTCTCGTTGATGAAGTGAAAGATTCAAGAAGTGAGTAGCTGTGATGAAGTTAATACATGGCGATAATTAAAAGAATTATAGTAGACATGAGTGAAAATAAACACAAAGTTATGATTACATTTATTTTAGATTAAATAAAATATCCAAGTTCTGAGGATTTCTAATTAGCAACTGCCATCTGATTGGAAGTCCTCAGTGTAGCTTATGGACATCGGCAATGCAGAGAGGCAAGCAAAGAAACAGCATAAGTGTATTTTAATAATTAATTTGAATAACGAAACATCAAGTGAATTGTAAAATCTGAAGGAACGTGCCAAAATGGTCTTTAGAATTGCACTATTGATGCAATGGTATAATTATAAGGACACTCGTGAGGTGAGGTGGAGAAAAGGCAACGAAAATTCTCCAAAAGTAAAGAGGTAATGATTTTTATTTTTTATTTATTGCCCTTGTAGGCAGATGAGCATACGGCCCACCTGATGGTGAGTGGTTACCGTCGCCCATGGACTTCAGTAATGCCATGGGCAGAGCCAAGCCCAGAGCCAAGATTAACAAATTAATTACATAAAACGCTCTACGAATTTCATCTCTAGAAATCGAATTAAAATTCCTTCATAATTTGAAAGCCGTTGCATATATTAACTCTATCGCAGATGATTATCTACTGTAATCTAGAAAATTGAATTTGCATACAATCGGGCGACCGAACACTCTCATAAACTTTAATAGCGTCCACTAATCGTTGTTATGGCGTCCCGTGGGACGTGGAGGACATATGACATCATTAGCTCAACGGATCGTGACGTCACCAAGATCCTATACACCGCTTTATCAGTTTGCCGTTCTATATAACGTTGGGTGTATAATAGACAATGTATATAGACCATTGAGATAGAATCAGTGGTGGTCTGCCTGTTGAGTGATTTGAACGTGTTTTAAGATTTAAAAAAATGAACGTCAGACACATAATTGGGAAGAACAGAATGTTTCGGCAGCCTTTGCCTATCGTGAGATTGGTGAGTTTTTTTTTTTCATTTTGAAGTTTGAAGGGTGTGTCTGTCAGCTGATATTAATTAACTCGGAAATATGCTTCTGTAAATGTAAGCTAAAATATTGGCCGTATAAAAAGTATTTTGGTTAACGACATGGAAGATACGACACATTAAATCGATTTACGGACGTCTTAAGATAATTATTGAATCAATGTTTAAAAACTTACGAAATTGATTCTTCCAGCTCGTAACGGCACAAGTATTTGTATCAGCACCGTTTTTTTAACTAAACGATTTGTATGTACCGGGTTTTTTTTAAATTATTTTATATATTTTTTTGGTTGCGGCAAGCGAACGCGGTCCGGCCTGTCTTTTTAGCGCTGGACACCGGCGTGTTGGAGCGACTGCCGCAAAACCCGGCGAAAAATCAATACCTACCCCCGTTCGTAAGCCCGCATGCGGAACCCGACATGAAATGAAACACAAATCCCCCATTTCCGTATTATGTTGTCGGGTTGGAACGAGACGGACACACGTTTGTCGTATAGCCGGCTAATGTTGCCGTTCCCGCCAATGAGCCGCGACAAAATGGCGGGTGACGTTTGACAGTTAGGCGTTTGGAATGACGTTTGATCGTGTTTAATTTGATTTTGTATTGTCTTTATCGATTTTAATGGCTTTATTTCGATAGTAAATATGAGAAGTAATGCTCGAACCGAGCTCCCCTTTTGGTGAGAGCGTTCGTTTGATGATTTGTTTTTTGTATGGGGTAATGGAATTGGCTGTTTTAGCTCTTATATCGAGAGCAATAGAATCTAGATTAGATTGCAGAAGTTGATGCACCATAATCTTATTTAATTGGTAATTATTTACCGATACTGATATTTTCTAAATATTTATTAACTTCAAAGCGATGTTGATCTATGGCACAATTTGAGAATGGCTTATTGAATTCTAAGCAGTTTGCTTGACCTAGATTTTGTATGGTGTTTATAAGATAAAGGATTACCACATCGCTTTATTTCAATAAACAAGATATAGCTTTACTTCGTATACACACAGCAATAATGCCCCTTTATTTCGACTTCAGCTAAAGATCACCAGCTGACCCGGCACACTTCGTAGTGCCTCAATCGATACATAAAAGACATAAACTTTTTGTATACAATAAACTTAAAACAAACAAAAGGAATCCGTCCGACGGGGGACACATCAAAGGAAAAACAAAATTGTAATTTTTATTTAATTCCGAGTATTTTCATATCTATCTACCTTTTAAGCCTTCTCTGGACTTCCACAAATAATTCAAGACCAAAATTAGCCAAATCGGTCCAACCGTTCTCGAGTTTTAGCGAGAATACCGAACAGCAATTCATTTTTATATAATATATAGATAGATAAGTCTATACCAAATGCGATTAAACAATTAAATGAAATTGTTCGGATCAAAATAATTAATGACGTCAACATCATTAACATCTTAAAGAAAATACTATTTTTTCAGACAACTGCTTCAAATAAAGAAGGTTTTTTAATTTTTATCATAATTAAAATGATTTTTACGGTTTAATTTCGCTGTTATTATGGTTATTACTAGAGGTCCCGCAGTAGTCGAAATTCGACTATGATTAATTGGAATTGTAAGTTTGTACACTGTTATGATTGTACTTTATACTTCTATAATCACAAATTTCGCCAAGGGTACACTATAAAAAAATATTAATAAAGGCAAACAATATTTAATCTATTGTCAATTTGACCACAGACGTCAAGAACAAAAGTTTGACAATAAATAGTATGCATGCGTGTGTGCGTCAAATAGGTACATGGTATGTAGTGTGTGTAATGTTTTCTTTATTGATTGAATGTATCTTTTATGCATTATTTAAAAAAAATATTAGCATTGTGCACTTCTTCTCTATATTCTCTATAAGTGTGGAAAATTTCATACTCCTCCGTCCGCGCAAATTTCGTAAAAAGGGATACAAAGTTTTTGCTTCACGTATTAATAATATATAGATAGTATTTCTGAGGTTTGGAGCTCTTAACAGCTACCGTAGTCACGGACGACGCAATCTATATAACTAGTCTATACTTAATATAATAATATTATAAAGAGGAAAGATTTGTTTGTTTGTTTGTTTCGAATAGGCTCCGAAACTACTGGACCGATTTGAAAAATTATTTTTCCATTAGAAGCCGACATTGTCCCTGATGAACATAGGCTACTTTTTTTAATTTTTATTTATTTATTTTTTTTGGTTTCATGTGTGTTTTAATGTTTCCGAAGCGAAGCGAGGGCGGGTCGCTAGTTTTGAATATAGTTAAATTTAGTTTCCTATATACTTAAAGTGTATCAATACAAGAACTATTACAGTAATGTACTGGATTACATTAATACATAGACACATCTGTCAAGTCATGTATAATGTTACTTGACTAAATGCGAATAAAGAAGAATAACCGAAAGATACCGTGAACAGTTTGGATGATTGATGTTGCCTGTATAATTCTGGATGCGTCTCGTGTTCATCTGTTAGCAGTATTTATAATAATATGTGTTTTATTTATTGCTTAGTTGGGTGGATGAGCTCGCGGTCCACGTGGTGTGGAGTCCATAGACATCTACAACGTAAATGCCGTCACCCACCTTGAGATATGAGTTCTAAGGTCTCAGTATAGTTACAACGGTTGCCCCGCCCTTCAAACCGAAACGCATTACTGCTTCATGGCAGAAATAGGCAGCGTGGTACCCGTGCGGACTCATAAGAGGTCCTACCACCAGTTTGCGTGTGTTGTTTGTTCTCTGGTGAACACTTTAGTAGCTTTTTACAACTTGAGAACGAATGAGTGCTATTCTCAACAACCGTCTTTCGGTTTGGGTGACACACTGACTGAAATATATTTGCAATGAGTTTAGAAGCATTTGTGACGTCACCAGTCTGCTCGTGTGATTGAACTGGGGCTTAACTCCCGCCTCGTAAACTCGAGTAGTGCGTCCGGGGTATAAATCCTTCACAGCGATAGCCTTCTTGTTTTTCTGCCGCGAAACATTCGCGCGTCGCGCTCTCAATTGAGAACGGCTGGCATACAATATTGAGACTTCGAACGCACGTTTCAAGGATGGAATTCGCGTTGTCTTAGGGCCGAGGTAAGCGATTAATGTCAGGTAATCGATGGCCTTCCTTCTACGAAAAAAATAATCGGTAAAGTCGGTTTACTGACGATAGTTGAACGTGACAATGTCATAAGAAAATACTGATGGAATGGTTTCATTTTTCAATTATCGCAATTATCGTTGCTGTAAACAATTGTCACCACATTCACCTTTCACTGAACTTCATACTTGACGAAAACACGTAAATGTATTATTGTATAGGAGCTGTCCACGCGGATGCATCGCTCAATCAAGTAGGAGAGAGATAGATGGCGAACGCTGCCGAACGCGGAGGCCGATTGTGCCTCTTTGTCGCTCGTTGCGCGCTTTTGCTTGCTCTTCAAGCCTTAAATGGAACGCCTCAGAGCGATATAACGCCGCATGAGTCATGTTTTTTCGTGCGTGCAGCCGTCTCCATCGAATTATAAGACGTCGTCACGTCAAAAGCCGCGGCCGTCCTAAGCAGCGCATTTCGGATCCTCCGGATCTACTCTCGGTGCGTTAAGACATTTCACGGAACGGTGCAATTTAGCCCCCAGAGTTTCTCGCCGGATCTTCTCAGTGGGTCGCGATTCCAATCCAGTTGTAGATTCAGCGAAGCACTGCTCTTGTTAAGGTAAAGGTTAGTAAAGTCTCCAGACTGAGTCCCATAATTCGCCAACCTCTTCTTCAACCCGTGTTTTTTTTTTATTCCTTATATGGGCGGACGAGCTCTCAGCCCACCTGGTGTTAAGTGGTTACTGGAGCCCATAGACATCTACAACGTAAATGCGCCACCCACCTTGAGATATAAGTTCTAAGATCTCACTATAGTTACAACGGCTATCCTATCCTTCAGACCGAAATGCATTATTGTTTCACGGCAGAAATAGACAGAGCGGTATTACCTACCCGCGCAGACTCAAAAGAGATCCTACCACTAGTAAACCAGTGTCCACCCAATGCTGAGTATATGTTTCCTCGAATGCACACCATTCTCTTCGGTCTCTTGCCTTTCTCATCCAGTCTCTACTAACTACTTTGACCAGGTCATCGGTCCACATCGTTGGCTGTCTGCCCACGTTACGACGTCCAGTACGAGGTCTCCACTCCAGTACTTTTGACCAGACCAGACCATTCGCTAACCAGTTAAGTGAAACCAGAGCAGCTCCATCGAAGCTAGTTGAGGTAGAAACAAAAAAATGTGGTCTGGTTTGGGCATTCTTTGTAGCAAATGAAAACAATCAAATATTATCAATAACACGATTTCTTCTCGCTTCTGTTTTGCTTCTGTATTTTACGATACGCAGAACATAGGAAAGTTGAATGTCCCCAAATAAGTTTAAATAGCATTAGTGAACGATGTTAGGCTGCTTCGATTCGTCGCAATGCAGCACTGACTGCAGTGAGCCTTGGCGAGGGCGGGCCAGCTCGGATCGAGCTAATACTATTTGTGTATGATTAAAATTTTTTACGACGACGCACCGTCTTGTGTTGTGCGATATGATGGTTCCAAACAATATTCAGATCTACAAAGTGACCGGGAGTTTAAGGACTAACAGCCTGGCCACGGGACATTCGCCGATACGAATGTTCGCGCGGTGCGAACGGCGAAGCGTCTAGCGACTAAAATAAGCGCATAGAAATGTACCTAACAAGCCACGCGCACCGGCGACCGGCGAAGCGACCGGCGAAATGTACCGAGCGAATCGCGCGATGCGGCGGGCGAGCAAAACAAATGCATGAATACGGACGGCGCGAGCCACGGAGTCGAGCGGTAGTCGCGGCGAATAGTGCANATTTTTCCATTTATATCGGTCTTGGGCAGTCTGTTCTAGCTCCTCCCACGTCATGCCCAAGACCCCTAGCTCCTGCTCCACCGAGCGACGCCAAGTTGTTCTGGGGCGGCCTCTCTTCCTTTTGCCAGACACTTTCCAGGTCAGTGCTCTCTTTGATAGGTGGGTATCGGGCTTTCTCAAAGTGTGACCAATCCAATGCCACTCCCGCGTAAGGATCTCCTTCTCCATTGGTGTCTGCTTAGTGATCCTAAGTGAAAGCGTTTAAACAATTATATGAAATTGTTCGGATCAAATTAATTAATAACGTCAACATCATTAGCATCTCAAAGAAAATTCTATTGTTTCAAACAACTGCTTCAAATAAAGAAGGTTTTTAAATTTTCATCATAATTAAAATGACTTTCACGGTTTAATCTCGCTGTTATTATTGTTATTACTAGAGGTCCCGCAGTAGTCGAAATTCGACTATGATTA